GTCCTACATTGGAAGCACCTCAAAAAGTGAGATAGCTAATCTCAAAATTTAATGTTGTTGCATATATAAAGCAGGATTTAAACCTCTAACCTTTCTTAAACGTGGATCAATCCCTACCGCTGAATCACACGCTTGGGTTGATAAGTCCTCTTTTGCATATGTTTTATTAATTCATGGATGGATATGAATTAGGCCAATAAGTGTCGCTTAATGTTGGTCTCTGCATATATTATTTTATTACAAACCGGCTGGATATATTTTTAATTAAATAAAGGTTAAAATAATTTTTTAATCACTTATTTTACATTTTAATTTTTGTAATTTAAAATATATTTTTTAAGTATATTTATCCTTTTCAATCTGTCTTTATAATTTAGTAGGATACTTTTTTTAATCTCTATGTTTATAATTTTTTAATTATTTTAGTTCATGTCATTAGTTATTTTATAGTGACAAAAATGTTAATTTAATTTTTTATGTTTAATGTTAATTTTATTTTTCTAAAATTACTTATTTTGTCTTTTTTTTTACTCTCATCCGTGACACTTATTATTGAAATATTTTGTTACTCTCACAAAATTAAAATTTTCTATCATGTCAACATAAAATAAACAATGTATTACACTTTGAATATCATTAAAAAAGTGATTTTAAACATTAAAAAAATAGGATAGTTATGTATAATCTTATAAAATCTCATGGATGTTACTGTAATTATTATTTTAATTTAATTAAGTAATGTTATTTACTCTGAAAATGTTAATTTTATGTAGGTTCTTTGGCAACCTGGACTTAAAGTTAATCCATAATATGACAAGGGACATTCAAGGTATCTAATTGAATAAAAAGTCTGTTGTGGAGATAGAGTTAATGAGGTTGAAATTAGCCAATCTGTTGAAAATAAAATCTCTGCCAATTAACGTGGTGATGGTTTGGGTCGAAGATGGTGAGGTGGTAGGTGGAAATAGGCATGGCGACGGGGCGGGGGCGGGTTTTACCCCCCCCCCGATACCTGTCGGGGGTAAAATCTAGGTCCCCATCTCCGCCCCCGGCGGGGTTCGGGTTTCCCCGCCCCGTCTCCGCCCCCGCTCCTATTTTTTTTCTTTTTTTTTCTTCTATTTTTATTTTAAATAAATATGAATAATTTTAAAAAAATAAAAGAAAAGAAAAATATATATTATTAAGCGGGGCGGGGGCGGGGTGGGTATTAACATCCCCGTCCCCGCCCCCGCCCCCGATTTTATTAATCGGGAAAAACCCGAATCCGATAAACACGAGTTTTCCCCGTCCAAATCGGGGCGGGTTCGGGCGGGTACCCACGGGGACGGGTTAGATTGCCATGCCTGGGTGGAAAACAACATTGTAGCCTAAACAATCTTCAAAATCAGATTTGCATCCTAGCCTTGAACTTGATGGTATATATTCATTTTCATTTTTCATAAAAGACAAAGTTCGAACATGTGAGCAAACTTTAAAATAATTTGAAAAACTAAAATAATTACGATTATGATGTATAAACTTAATGCATGTAATCATTGTTCGTATAATGTTTTATGCAATCTGCATAAAAGGAATCATAAGAAAAATTTGCAGGTAGAAATCATATTGTATAAGCTTTTTTATAATTAAGGATAAAAATATTATAAAAAAGGGGTTAGAAAAATGTTTTAAAAAAATAGTTTTATATTATGAAGATGAAATTTGTAACAATCAGTAATGGTTACCACATTTAACGGATTAAGTACTAGAAAAAAAAATACTATAATCACCTCAAATTAATATATTCACATTTGAATATATATATATATATATATGTTGACGAACGATGGATGACATGATGATGAATGACGTACATACTTTGTGATAGATGATTTTTATGTTGATATCATTATTTAATTTAAAGTTTTTAATGCATAAATCAAATCTGTAAATTTTTAAAAAATTTTAAAAAATATTTAATATTTTATTTTATTAATTTAAATTGATGGATAATTATAAAATTATTTTATAAGAAAATATTTTTTTAAGATATAAATAGAGATTTTGTGTGAATTAATAGAAGAGTAATTAATTGGATGTAAAATTTTTGTTGCAACAAAAAAATGTTTAGTTTTATATAATTAGTATTTTTATATAATTATGTTTAATATTTCTAGTTTTTTTAAACTACAATAATTTAAAATTAATAAAATTAATATTTTATGATATCGTTATAGTTTCTTATATTAATGTTTTTAATGCCTTATAATTTTTTATATTAATATTTTATTATATTATATAATTAAATTTAAATATGTTTTTAATCTTTTAAATATAAAAAATTTTGTTTTTAATTCTTCAAATTTAAAACTGAATTTTTAGACTCTGTAATTAAAAAAAAAAAAGATATTATTTTAACCTTTATACTTAAATTTTGTTAAAGAATCTATCAAATAATTTTGGATAAATTTTATCAGTAAAAATATTGTATTAAATTCAACTATTGTTACATAACTGCTAACTGTCTTAATCTATCACTTTTAAATATGTTATTGATAATCTAAGAGACTAAAATAACTTTTTTTTAAAATTACATATTAAAAATAACAATGTTAAATATGAGGGATCAAAAATAAATTTACCCTAAAATTGAGAGATTAAAAACATATTTAAATCTATATAATTACATAAAAAAGTATAAACATAATTTAATTTTATAAAATTTGTATATGAACGAGGGATGTATTGGAGCAAAATAGTTACTATAGAAATTGTTCTTTTTATGTATACAGATTAAATTTTAACTTTATTTTATAAAATTTGTATATGAAAATCTGTTGAGGAAAGTTAAATTTGTTGAATGGAAGTTTTGAACAAAAATAGTTGTTGCAAAAGTTATTCTTTCTATATTTATATATTATAGATAAGTTATTTTTTTTTTATTTTAAAAAATCTCAAATAATTGATTATATATTATTTTACATAATTTTATATTTATTAAGTAATTTATTAGTTAGTCGACTAAATTGTACTTTTAGTCTTTCTATTTTCATTAATTTAAAATTTTGGTTCATTTATTTTAAAATATAGATATTTATTAATTGTTAAATTTTAACATTTTCATACTTAAGTGATGTGATATTTAGTAATATAAAATTTAGAGATTAAATAACTAGAAAAAATATATACAAATAAAGTTTATTAATGAAATTAATAATAATCGCTCGTTAAATATATATAAATATATATATATATATATATATAATTATTTTTTTTTTAATTTTTATCTTTACATGTTTTGTCATTAAATATTATGTCACTAAATAATATTAAAATTTAACAATCAACAAACATAATTTTTTTTATTATAATATTGGCAGGAGTACATACCAATTTTGTTGGAAATTAATTCCCTTCAATTTATAAGTTCTCAATTGGTCTATAATTTAATTTTATAATTTAATTTTAGGTTAAATTATACTTTTAACCTCTTATTTTTTTTATATCCATTTCTACCTTTTTATCAAATAAAATGTTCATTTTGATATCTTTATCTTATAAATTTATGTCAATTTATTCATTTTAATTTTTTTTAATTGATTTAAGACTTCAAACTAAGGATGATAAAAGGATTGAGCAAGGGTAGATAATGGTCTCCTTTCAATCAATGAGTTATATATATATATAATGCACGATCTCCCCAAGATAAATAATAAAGAGCTTGTGATGATACATGATGTGGATCTTTTTAAGATGTAATAAAGTTTTTGATGATACTTGATATATTGTTTCTTTAAGATAATGAATAAAGAGCTTGTGATGACACTTGATGTGTAGGGATAGTGTAATGAATCTGAATCCTATGGACATCTCCAAAAATACCTGCATGCGAGACGAGTAAATACTTTCTTATATGGGGATGTGTATGGGGCAAGTAGATTCACAAAATTTAGTAGGTATGGGTACTATAATACCCCCCCTAACCCACCTATATATATATATATATATATATATATATATATATGTATATATGAGTATTTATAGATATATGTGAATATTTGTTAAAATGTAAATTTTTAAATAAAAAAATTAAGAAATAAAATAAAATAAATCATTTAAAAACATATGCTTATATTAAAAAAAATTTGTAACATATATTTGTACTAAAAATAAATAATTGTAACACACATTTATTATTGTGAAAATAAATTAAACCAAATTACTGCATATATAATTAAAAGTATTTTTAATATTTTTAACGTGCAGATATCAATAATTATTATATTTTACTATCTGTCTTTCCTCCATTATTAATCAAATACTTATTTAATTATTCATTTAAAATTCATAGAAAGTTTAATCTACATGTACAATTTTTTTTTGTCATCTCTACTTAAAACTTGTTACATTAAACTCACTTATATAAAATTTATTGAATGCAATTAAAATTCAAGGCAAATATGTCATATACACATTAAAAATAAATTTTTTTAAAAAATTTAATTTCATATTATTTTTTAGTTTATGAAATATATTTTTAATACAATTTTTACTATATCTATAAAATTTTTATTTAGATTTCAACATTAATCACATTTTATAATTTTTTTATATGGATGAATTAATTGTTATAAATTTCACATCCTTAATGAGTAAATTTTTTAGTTTAAAATTATGTTGCAAAATTCAAAATAATCATTAAAGTTTATCTAAATATAAAAAACTAACATTTGAACAAATAAAAAATAATATTATATATATATTAATCATAATATTGATACGAAATATTTACTATCAAATAATAATTATAAATACATACAAAATAAATATTCATCTCATAATATAATCTATTATATATCTAATATTAAAATTCAAATATAGTAAAACTTGATCTTAATAATTAATATAATTTAACCTTAATTTTACAAAACTTATTAAAATATTTTAAAAAATAAGTGAAATTAAAGTAAAAAAGAATATTGAGTTGTTATAATTATTAACATAAGCTAGTGTGGTGGTTTGTCTGAGTTGTGTAGTTGAATAGGTGGGTTCCGGCATCGTGCTCTGCACTTAGAGTCACACTTCACATTTCACACTTCACACTTCACACGCCTCTCTCTGTCTCGGTGCACATCATAAATTCCTCCGAGGAAGAAGAATCAGCGAGATGAGTCAGGAGCTGTTAGAAACGTACGCCTGCATGCCCTCGACGGAGCGCGGCCGCGGGATTCTGATCTCCGGCGACGCCAAGTCCAACTCCATCGTCTACACCAACGGCAGATCCGTCGTCCTCATGAGCCTCCAGAACCCCCTCCAAGTCTCCGTCTACGGCGACCACGCCTACCCCGCCACCGTGGCCCGCTTCTCCCCCAACGGCGAGTGGGTGGCCTCCGCGGACGCCTCCGGCACCGTCAGGATCTGGGGCACGCGCAACGACTTCGTTTTGAAGAAGGAGTTCCGAGTCCTCTCCGGCCGCATCGACGACCTCCAGTGGTCCCCCGACGGCCTCCGAATGGTTGCCTGCGGCGAAGGCAAAGGGAAGTCCTTCGTCCGCGCTTTCATGTCAGTTCTCCTTACTCCTATCTGCGATCTATTTCTCTTTGACTTCGTTTGACTTTACGATCTCTTTCTAAACGTGAAGGTGGGATTCCGGGACTAATGTTGGTGAATTCGATGGCCACTCGAGGCGGGTTTTGAGTTGCGCCTATAAACCCACCAGGCCCTTTCGCGTTGTCACTTGTGGAGAGGATTTTCTTGTCAACTTTTACGAGGGACCTCCCTTCAGATTTAAGCTATCTCATAGGTATGTATGTATTCTTATATTATGTTTTATGCTTTGTAAGGAACATATGTGATGAGAGAATAAACTTTACATATCAGAGCCACAAAGAAAATGATCTTTTCATACACCTCTGACTCTCAAAGTAACCTAGCCTCTGTGCTATTCCTTCTTTTTTCCAAAATGATGAAAACATGTAGGATGTACGCTTAGGTGGTATCCAAACTGTTGTGTTTTATCTTTGCCTCTTTCTGCCTGTTAAACTAGTCTTGACTCTTGATGAATAACTGCTGAAAGCTCGATCATTTATTTGGATATGTACAGGGATCATTCAAATTTTGTCAATTGTGTGAGATATTCTCCAGATGGCAGTAAATTTATAAGTGTAAGTTCTGACAAGAAGGGTATCATATTCGATGGAAAGACAGCAGAAAAGATTGGTGAGTTGTCTTCTGAAGGTGGGCATACTGGTAGTATTTATGCTGTTAGCTGGAGTCCCGATGGAAAGCAGGTGAGCTAACTTCTGAGTATTTTTTTATTATTTACAGCAAAGACCCTCATCCCCTGATGTACTGTGATGCAAACCTGGTATCTTATTCAGAAGGAATAGGGATAAACCCCGATTACAAACATAGAAGGCTGCAGTTCCCCAAATTCTCCAACAAATAACTAGATTACTTCCTCTTAACCACCCCTTTTATTTATAGGCAGCATGCCTTATTTCTTTAACCAACAATCTTTTAACTAAGAGATATCTATAATACTGACCCATTTTCCCGTCTCTGTTTCCTTTTTTCTTCTCTCTAATTCTTAATGAAATTCAATATATATATACTTAAATCCATTTTTGGTTTCTATGATTTTGCAAATGTGTAATTTTGGCCCCTCATAAAATTTTATTGCAGATTTGGTCCACTTAGTTTCAAATTCAGCAATGACATGTTATCCAGAATTAAACAAAAAATGGTAACATATTTGTGGGTGACACTTAGTCATGTTGACTTCTGTTTTTACTACAAATATGTTATGTTTCTTTTTGACTTCAACTAAAATTTATAATCTATTAAAACAATTTTATTTTTATTTTTTAATACTACTATTTTCCTACATGCCTAACTAACTACAAGTAGTATCACTCAAAGAGACTCATCAACATTTTTTGCTTAATTTTGAATGACATGTTAACGGCAGACCCATATTGCTTAATTTTAAAAACTAGGGAGACCAAATTTGTTATAAAAGAATTTTTAGAGACCAAAATTGCACATTCATGAAACTATGAGGACTAAAAGTGAATTTAAGCCTTTTTTAAGTCAACATATTGCAAGCATTCAAACTTGTTTCTTTGTATCATTGTATAACATTTTGTAATAGTTGCCGACTTGCCTCTCTCTTTTTAATATTATCAATAAGCTAATAAACATGCGGTAAAGTAAAAGACATGAAGTGATGAATGGAGAGTTATTTTTCTTTTACTTTTGGTAGCCAGACATACGTTTTACTTTTCCCTGATGTTACTCTGGAAGTGATGCCTTTCATGCATGTGTTTTATCTTTTTGTTATAGTTTATTTTGTTATCTCATCTTTTGGGAACTTTTTCTATCTTGTTTAGAAGGATTATATATATACACACACACACATCAAATTTTTTACCCATATTTGAATTTATAAAAGCAATAGATGTTTTTAATATTACTTCTTGATGTTCTCATACTATTAATTGCTTGTTAATACTTGCTAGATATGTTAGGCATGTTATATATATAGTTTGCATAATCTTGCGCTAGTTACTTTTTGAGTTTGCAGTTAACCAAACTGCTGACTTTGCAGAATTGTTAGTTTTTTTTCAATTGCTTTTTTTGCTTGTACCTTTTGTGCAAGTATTTTTTCTCCTTTTTACTGTAAGACTGACGCAAATTTTGAGTGATAACAATCTGATCTACAGTTGTGATGGTGTCTGCAGGTGCTCACTGTATCTGCTGACAAATCTGCAAAAGTATGGGACATATCTGATGACAGTAACGGAAAGGTGAAGAAAACATTGACTTGTCCTGGCTCTGGTGGAGTTGAAGACATGCTAGTGGGGTGCCTATGGTTGAATGATTATCTTGTGACTGTTTCTCTTGGTGGGACAATATCTATATTTTTAGCAAGTGATCTTGATAAAGCCCCGACAGCATTTTCTGGACATATGAAAAATGTTTCCTCCTTAACTATTCTTAGAAGTAACCCTAGAGTGCTCTTGTCTAGCAGTTATGATGGCTTAATAGTTAAGTGGATTCAAGGGATTGGATATAATGGGAAACTACAAAGGAAGGAAAGTTCTCAAATCAAATGCTTAGCAGCGGTAGAAGAAGAGATTGTCACAACTGGATTCGATAATAAGGTGAATGTTTTGCTTAATTCTTTGGGTAATATGAGAATAATACTCGTTACACTATGTTGTACTCAATTTCCATCTCTTCCATTGGATAAAAAAATCAGGGATGCTTGTTAGCATTTAATAAATTTTTAATGCATTAAATAAATAACTTATTATTTATATGGCATTATCCATATGAATTATATTGCTAGTAAAGTTTTCTGACCGGGTACTTTGGTATGAGGCTGGATTAGGAGCAGGACTTGGACATTTTGTTGGATTTGGGCCCAAAATCTGGAAAGTTTACTCCAGAAGGCAATAAAAGGGAATTGGGAGGAGGATTAGTTATGTTGACTTAGCAAATTTGTTAGGGCCAAGTAGCTGAAATATAGGGAGGAAGAGGTGTGAGAGGCATGCTTGGATAATCATGGAGAATAGCTTTCTCTGATGAGCCTGAGGCTCTGTTTTAGTTCCTTTGTAAGAGTCTTGGCCCAGCTGCTCTTGAATGAACAATACTTTTACATCAGTTCTTGTTCCTTGTGTTCTATCAGTTTCATAGAAATCTCCACAATGCACTTAGCTAAATCTTTTGATTTAGTTTTTAATATGTAATATTTACGATTATACATTACTTTATCAGTACAGTATTTACTATTTAAGTCTTACATCTAATGCTGTTGCGACTTCACTTTTTTCTACTCAGTATATTTGTTTCTTATGAACCAATGATGACATAAGGACCATATTTCTCCCTAAGTGCACGGTGGTCAAACTCTTGAGTTAACTCTTAGATTATTACGATATTATGAGTTGAATCTATGGAAGCTCCACGAATTTATATTATAGACTCTCAAGTTTGACAACTTTACTTATGTGTTCAATTGAACTCACTAAATGGCAACATTAACAATTGCTTTACTAATTGGGAGATCTGTAGTTTGCCAATTAATGTTCTTGTAATCTTATTTTATTTATGTGTTGCTATTAATAGGAAAGATTGATTTTGCATACTGATCAGTATCCTTTTTTTTTTTTATGTTAAGGATATTTAGGAAGTCATTGTTTATGCTTTATATTTCTCATACCTGTTGTTTGAAAGCCGTACGCTAATTTTGACATAGATCTTCAGTGATGTTTTTATGCTAAGATATGGGCAAATGGTGTGTGGGGGGGGGGGGGGGGGGAAGATTTCAAGGCATCTGCAATATATGAATATCATGGAGACGTATTGGTTTCTTACTCTGATACCTCCACTTCCTTTCTCTCTGTGCAACCAGATATGGCGAGTTTCTTTGCATGGGGATCAGTGTGGAGATGCTGAAGCCATTGATATAGGAAGTCAACTAAAGGACTTAAGTGTTGCACTTCTTTCTCCTGAACTTGCTCTAGTTTCAATTGATTCAGGAATTGTCATGCTGCGTGGTACCAAAATTGTGTCAACCATTAATCTTGGGTTTATTGTGTCCGCATCTGCTGTCTCACCTGATGGAAGTGAAGCCATTATCGGTGGACAGGATGGTAAATTGCACATATATTCTATTTCTGGTGATACTCTTGTAGAAGAGGCAGTCCTTGAGAAACATAGGGGTGCTATTAGTGTCATACGGTATTCTCCAGATGTTTCAATGTTTGCATCAGGGGATGTCAATAGAGAAGCTGTAGTGTGGGACCATGCCTCCCGAGAGGTAAGTACAACTATGAGCTCAAAGTATTATGTTTAATGATTTCTCTCTAATGTGCTTTTGGATGTGTGTATGTGATTGAAATTAAAAAAATAGTGATGGCTTGTGTGACAATTTTGACCCAGTTTTCTTTTTTTTTTGCAGGTGAAGCTTAAGAACATGTTGTATCATACTGCTAGGATAAACTGCCTTGCGTGGTCCCCTGATAGCCGTAGGATTGCTACAGGATCACTTGACATGTGTGTCATCATATATGAAATTGATCAGCCTGCATCTAGTAGAGTTACCATAAAGGGTGCTCATTTAGGCGGGGTTTATGGATTAGCATTCACTGATGAGTATAGTTTGGTTAGCTCAGGCGAGGATGCTTTTATCCGTGTTTGGAGGATAACCCCTGCTTGATCTATCAAGGTCAATTTGGAAGAAAAGTGAATGTGGGAAATATTTGTTGGATTTCAAATTTAATCCTTTAGAAGTCTTCTAAAAATCAAGACTGACGAGGACGTGCTTATCACCATAAATTGGTCATATCAAAATCTTACGAATTTCAAGCATTGGTTTGGCGGTCACTCTTGACATTGGCAGTATAAAGTTGGGGCCATTTTTGTGTTGCCTTTTATAAGTAGCTGCTTTTTGTGAGTTTCGATGTCTAGACTATGATGGTACCAGTGTACCAATTTATGATACCAGAGAATTTTAATGGTTGTGCCAATTGTCAAAAGGATCTTGTTGTGTACATTACAGGGGATCAATTTGGATAGTGTGAGTTTTTGTGTTAAAAGTGTTGATAGATTAGAGAACAAAGACAACCATTTTTCCCCACCCACAACTCACCTCTTTAGAGGATATATACTCAATCGGCTACCCCTGTTCGAGGCCAGATTGATTCTAATGTTTGTTTGTGGTTGGAATGCAGTTGTGCATGTTTGTTGTTTGTTAACTTATTCAATGTGATTAAAAAAAAAAAAGCAGCTGCAAAATCTCTGTTTTTTGGATCTACATACGTTTCAGAATTAAATTATTTATATAGGAAAGGTAGGTGCCTTGAAAATTTTCAAGAAAAAAAGTAGATGGTTAAAAATATTTAAAAAATAGGATGAATACATGGGAATATTATTCCTTCATTTGGAATTTATGATATATTTGAATTGGCGATGTTAATTGGATTGTTAGTCTAGTTAATAGTTAGGGTTTGATTTGGGATTATTTTGAAGTTTATCTCGAGATTTTCTTTAGCTTTGGGATTTAGTATTATGGCTAAAGTACCATTTGAATCTTTCTATTTTTATTTATTTATAATTTTGATTCTCTTATTTTAAAACAGAGATATTTAGTCTTTATATTTTTAAAAATATAAAAATTTGATTTTATGATGAATTTTGATATTTACAATTCGTTAAATTTTGATATTATTTGATAATCTACCACAACTTATGTAACATGATATATAGATAAAAATTAAAAAATAACATATAAAAAATCTTTGTTTGTATTTATTTTTATGGGTTATTGATGTTTATTTTATTAATAAATATTTTATTTACATAATTTTATAATTTTGTTTATATTTTTAAATATCATGTTATTAAATGTCTCATTACTTAAATATGATTAAACATTAAAACTTAACAATTAGTAGGTATTAGTTTGAAAATAGGATCAAAATTTTATTTTTAAAAATATAGAGGTTAAATGTTTCTATTTTAAAATAAAGAATTAAAATTACGAATTGATGAAAATAAAAGTACCAAAAATGTAATTTAATCAGTATTATTAGATTGAGTTTCATCGTATTTAGAATTTGTTGACTCGTATATTGAATAATTTTGATTTATACCTATATTTTTGTTTAGAAAAATAAAATAAAAGATTATGGTAAGGCATGATTCTATATAAGGGTAGAGTTAATTATTAATTTCTCTAAATATTTTTAGTGAAATTATGGATGATCTACCTTATCATCCGTGTAAATTTGCATAGAAATATATAAAATACAAGAAAAGTCAAATTTGATTTCAAATTTTAACTAGAAAGAATAAATGGATTTAATTAGTTATATCACCTTCGTTAGACAATTTATACTTATAAATCTTTAGTCAAACGTGTCTTAGTTATAAAAATCCTAATAGTGTGTTTGGATGAAGAATTTAAATGGAGTAATTCATTTATTTGAAGAATTTCAAATTTTTTGAGGTAAAATACCTTGTTTGGATGGAGAATTTACAAGGAATTTGAAATTCAAGCATTTGTTAAATTCCTTGAAATAGTAGAATTTCAAATTCTCCCAAAAAAGTAAGAATTTGAAATTCCTCATTTTCTTTTCTTATTTCCCTTATATATTTCATTTTATCTCTTATCTCTTCATGTTTTTAATTATTGAATATTCAAAAATATTTTTAAAATTATTAAATATTATCTAATATTAATTTTTAAAATTATTAAATATTTAAAAATTGGCTAATATTTATTTTTATAAAATTTAATTTAAAACAAAAATACTTTTAAAATTATTAAATATTATCTAATATTAATTTTTAAAATTATTAAATATTTAAAAATTGGCTAATATTTATTTTTATAAAATTTAATTTAAAAATCTTAGCATATAAATATATTTTTAAAATCAATTTTACCATGGTAGAATTAAATTATTATATCCAATCCAATAATTTAAAATTTGAGAAATTTGAATTGACTTATCCAAACAAAATATTTTAAGAATGATAGAAATTGAAATCAAAGTAATTCAAATACCAAGAATTTAAAATTCCTTGAATTTATAAAATTCCTCATCCAAACACACCATAAAGTGATACATTAAAAGAAAAAAACTAAATTAGTTTTTTCTCTCTATATATATATATTGTTATGGATACTGTCATGGTTATAACATGTTTTCTCTTTATTTTTTACCGCAAACAATTAAAAAATGTAGAGTACAGAGTAAATACAATTATAAAAAATTGTAACACACTATTGAATTGTTACTTGAACAATGAAGGCCTTAACCAAACAAATTGTTAATGAGGCAAGAATCATGCAAACTAAATTCCTTATATGACGCTTCGATAGTCTGCATTTGAGTATTTCATATTTAACATATTTTACAAGATATTACTGATAAATTTCACCCATTAGTAAAATCTACATAGTATGAGATCCAAATATATAATTATAGTTTTCAGTTAACAGCGAATGGGGCTGATTGTAACAAAGTTTACATAGTATAGATAGTGAAAAGAGGGAAGTAGTACATTAATTATACATGTATTGACAATAGGATCGGAATAGACAAATAGTTGAATAAACCATTCTTGAATGGCTAGAATATGAGGGAAAAGTTGAGATTTGGTTGCACAAGGGCACATCATTATTATGGGGCTAGTCTCAAATATAGAGGTATGTAGTTTGTGGGATCTGGCATTGAATCCCAAACACTGAATGCACTTGAGCACCTCATCCAATTTTTAGTCATTTCAGGAAAGTGTCTGTCTATCACATCCTTCAAACTCTCTGTTCTGTTTACCCATTCTAGCCCTTTGTCTGTGTATGTTTTAGAGTTGAAATTCGTTGTGAAGAAACGATCAGCTTCTAGCCTCCTAAACATTAGATACCAAATAAATAGACTTGAAGTCAATGATCAATTTTCGTTATGTTTTGTGATTGGAAAATATTTGTTGCATACGATATAGTGCTTCGCAGGACTTACCTTGAAGCCATCATTAGGAAAATAAAGAAAGCAGTCTCACTGATAGCAAACCCTCTTATCTTCTTCTCTGCATGGAGACCCACTATCAAGTCTAGCTTCTCAACATCATCTTCATATACCTCTTTAAGAGCTTCAATCACCTCTTCATCATCTGTTAAATCCTCCCACTTGCTAATAGGGATCATCAACAAGTTTCTTCTGAATTCATTATACCTCGCAACACCCCTTTCTCTATCTCTATAAACTGACAGAAGATTCATCATATTTTAGATCAAATTGGTTATAAGATTTCATATGAATGCTTGGAAAGGATACTATATTAAAAGAAGTTTTCCCACTACAATCCTACTCGACTCCAAAAGTATTGATTCCGGTGGAGGATGCCTGTAGTGTAAACCAAAATAATATTAAAACAAGTGTGAAGGAGACTACCTTCCATGGTAGCCATATCAACCGGATCAGGTCTGTCCTCTCCATCAACATTATGGGCAATGAGGTTCCTTAAGCATGTTGGATAGTTCCATAAAGCAATTGCACCACATGATTGATGACCCATGGATACTAGCATTTGCTCCATTCCTATGTTTGATAGCCTTCTTTCCCCTTCTTTTCCCAACATTTCCCTCATAGGCACCCTGAAATGTATTTTGGCAATTAAACTTGAATGCCCTTTTCATCACAAAACTAAACACTGAAAAAGGTTTTCATGTTTACTAATACACAAAGCAGGAAACTAATAAGTGAAAATGTAGGAAGAGATTACAGGTAAAAGGAAGTAACTCCCGCCATGCAAATTGGTTGTAGTGGGGGTTTCGAAGACTTCATTTGAGCATACGAAAGACACTTATAACTTTTTCATAAGCTCCTTTTAGTTTTTTTAAATAAGTTTCATGGAAAAGCTTAATAAAATAAGTTCTTTTTAATCTATGTAAGCTCTTTTTAACTTGTTTAGGCAAGCTCATGAATAAGTTCTTATTTGATAAGAGTTTATTGAATAAGTGCTTATTTTAATTGTTTATCTAAATGTACCCAATAAAGTCTGAAATCTGAGCTTTAAAACTAGAATCAGTGAGAGGCATAACGATATACGTTTCAAGCATTGGAGGACATTTATATTCTCCTGTTGAAGGCTTGATATCTCGAAGGACAATTTCATCAGGTAGCAGAGAATGCATTCTGTAAACACTGACAAACTCTTCAGTAAGTGTGTAGGGAACTCCATGATCTCTTGGCTCCCTGAGACCAACTAATCCACTAAGTACGGGCCCACAAATATTTCCAAATAAATCTTTAAATTTCTTCCCCAAAAATCCGTACCTGTTAAAAAAACAAAAAACGAAAGAGTTTCACCTACAGTTGCATAGATAACTGCTATTGTATCGAAGTAGCTTGTCTCCTTCAAAATTGCATCTATTTAGACTTACCAATTGATCCTCATCCCTGCCAGTAGAGTATCAGTCTTTAGGAGTTCTACAGTCCAATCAATTGTGTGAATTTTTGCAGTGACTGCTGAAGTCACCAATTTTGCATATCTATATAGCTGCTCATCATCAAAATCAGTATAGTGCGCCTACAAGCAAAGAACAATTCATGCATTATCCTTGGAGGCAAAGTTCATGCGAGCCAGTAAAGGGAGACAAGATATGCAAGAAATGGGAGGAAGTTGTCTTACTTTTAGCATATCACATACAGCATTGTGCTCCTTAACAAACAAGGCCTGCATAAGGGAAAAGCCAGCCCAGCAATTTCTAACATCACCTGAGATAGGAATACCATTTTCATCATGCTCAAGAAGCCCATCTTCTGAGATTTTCAGCTTTCCATCTTTGAATGTCCTCACTCTTCTCATGCCCTTCTCATTATTCCCATATATGACGCTTCCATCCCTAGTCCACTCCCCAAAAAGAACAAAAAAAATCCAGCTCAAAAAAATTCTGAATAACTTCTACCATCAGTTACTTTGTGATGTGTGTTTAAAACTTGGAGGAATCAAGAGCAAAAGTAAGTATATAACGAAAAAAACGTCGATGAGTGAAATTGTACACCATAGCAATACGTTAAACTGAGGATGTTCTGTTGTATAATTTCTTCTATCAACAGAAAGTCCTTCCTTCCCCTCTGTTGGATCATCTAGAGGGTGTTTGTGTTCCAAAGTTTAATGAATTTATGCTTCATCAGTAATGAAGATATAAGTGCCAAGGTCCTACTTACCACCAAGGAGTCCTAATGTTTAGGAAGCCAAACTTCATACATGAAGAACCTGTTTTGAACTTCTTAGTCTTGAAAAACTTGAAAGACTGTAAAGGACATCCACTTGAATAACCATCAGGAGCTCTAATTTCCACCTGTTCCAAGAATTGTGTAAGAAATAAGCTTTATGAACTTTGCTAAGATCCAAAGTACAAAAAACAACCAAGGTTAAATTTCTTTTTGGACACCCTTCAATAAACAAAGTAGATTAAATACCTGTTCTGTGTCCTCTAAATGGTCAATCCAGTCATGAATCATGAACTGTAACCATGAGCAAGCTATCATGTTGAATTGCTTCCCTGTGTCTTTGAAATTCTTTCTTGCTAGGAGCTTTGAGGCTACCACAGTAGGGTGAGGGTCCAGTAACTGCAGACAACAACATAAATTCAAGTCAAATTATCTTTATTAACATGAGAAAAAAACTGGTGAATGTAAGGAAGGACTAATAAGAACAAGAACATGAACAAATCATAAATATCCTCAAGTCCAACAATCCATGGTTACCCCATAATCTAAGGTCGCCGGCTGCATGTTCCGGCCAAAGGAAGTCCCCTGGCTGCCGATCAAATGGTCGGTGGGGTGGTTGCACATACCATCCGGTGTCCTATATGCATAATCTTGTGTGTCATACTTGTGGCCATTGACTCCTTCAACATGCAACAGATTGTAACGGTAATGCAAGTGCCTCCTAATTCCCAAGTATGCTAATCCCAACAACACAGGAAGCCTATGCCACAACCCAAGCTTGTCCACAAAATGTATCACCTAAACAATCAAATTATGTCACATAAACATCATTAACATGCATATACTTATGCTTAAATTTGAAGCACACAAAGAGCTACTATAGACTGGGGTGCTAGTGCTACTAACATAGAAGAGTATGGTGTCAAAAAGGGTCATTTTGGCCACAATAGGGTGGAGATGAGGATGAATGAAGGGTTCAGAGAAAAGAGAAAATTCCATGACTTGTTTGGGGAGCTTAGTTAATATTTGTCTGAACTTCATAAAGAGCACTTTTAAGTGCCTTAATTGTAACTGTTTTTTTTTTTCATTTTTCATTCACCGAAAAGAATTAGTGCAAGAGGTGTGAACTCAGCTGGCGATATAAAAGGAATGTAAAAATGTGATGCTGTTAACGTAAACCTGCCTCAATTTCAGTTCATTCAATGCTTCAATAGTATCCCTTGCGTCTATGGCACTTGGTACTTGGTAGAAGTTGTTTTACGTTTTTTTTTCGTGAGAAATCGTCATCCAGAGTTTGTAGTTTATGGAGAACTTGTATATTTTACACTTATGTCTCTAAATTAGTAGTACACTCAGCGTTTTACTTTCACAAAGCATCGCTCGAGAGAGTGAGGGACCCAATACTGGTGTCTCTTTCTCTTTACACTCTCAAAAGAAGAAAACAATATACCATAATATCTGCTAGTTAGTGGTTTTCATTCAATGCCGATAAACACAAATAAAATATTAATAGTTTAATTATATTTTTGCAGCTCATATTTCATGATTTTGTTAAATACGAGCTTCGATTTTCTTTTAAGAAAATCCCATATTCAAATTTTGTTAATGAACAACATAAATGACATGAATAGTTTATTCCCTAACTGAATGAACTAAATACCCATCCTACTCGAGACATGAAATAAATTTAGGAAATTCTCAAAAATATTTTTAAAATTTTGAAGTGCAACATGTATCTAATCGAAATGCCTTTTTCTTTTACCAATGAGAGAGGGTGCTTTTGATAAATTTGAAAGGCCAAATTACCATTATTTTTTATATTTCTTTTTTATTAAAAATTTATATTTAAATATGATTTTAGTTTCTGTAAAGTTAATGAATTTTGATTTTAATTCATGCAAAAAATATTATTTTTCATCCTTTTAAAATTTATAAATATTTTTTTTTTCAAATGAATAAATTTTTATTTTAATTCATGTAAAATATTTTTACATCATTTTAAAATTATAATATACTATCTCAATATCGACCATAAGTAAATAAATTATAAAAAAAACATGCATCTTAATCTCAAATATAAATAAAATTCAACTAATTTTACTCATATCCAAAATGTTCATCATTTAATTAAGATTTTAATTTCAAAGATTTTTTATTCTCAATCAAATTTCAATAAAAGTTAGTTTAGAAAAAAGAAATATTTGTTTAAATAAAATCGGTTCAATTAAATAATGTAAAATAATTTTTATAATCACGGTGACTTTTTTTTTTTATATATTCAACACCGGAAGGAGTACAGGTGTAATTATTGGAGATTATTAGATTATTGCAAGAGATATTAAGACACTCAAGTTGAATAAATAATCATGTCTTAAAAAAACATGGGTAAAGTCACTTTTGTGACAAAAGTCAAAAATTGAAACACAAGTTTGTGTTATATAGGTGGACTATGCAGTGACGCTGGAGAGCAAATGTCTTCAACAACATTTTGGAGAAATAAATGATGAACCATGACATTTGCCTCTAAATAAAAAACTTGTTTGTTAGTAAACATGTTATAGGATAAGATCTTACCTTAAAAGAGGAATTTGGGTAAAACTCTAAAAAGGAAATGAAAACGAATATTTATTAATTAGAATAAAGTATATGACTTAATTGTAAAATATTGAAAGATAGTATAACTTCTAACTATAAAACTCTGAAAACATAATTATTTAACATCACTAAAAAACATTTTAGAGAAGAACGTGAATAAGGTTAGGTGTTGCAATACCTACAAATTTATTTTTGAATAATTATCCTATATAAAGTCAAACTCATTAATGGATAAATATCATAATTATTAAGCGTAATTTTTATATACAATCATTGAATGTAGTCTAATTAAGAGGAGAAAAACGGAAAGTGCCCACAGAAAGTTTTCCACATTTCTTTTCTTAGTATTCAGAAAAATAATTGGGTCCATTGTGGCCCAAAAAATTGATAGGTCCATCAGTTAGCAAGTTTTTTTTTCACATCCCAAAATATTGGATTATCAATACAAGAGTACTAAAGAGTCCAACTTGTACTAACCACTCAAATCTGCTGTATTATAACCAAAAGTTGTTGGAAATTCGATACTTGTGCTTCTTAAGATCTAACACAATTTATTTAATATTTTATTTAATAAATTTTATGTAGTAAGAATTTATATCGTAAGTGCTTAAAATTCAACCACATATTACATTTGCATATATATATATATATATATGAGGAGGGTTCAAACGACACCGGTGTAACTTTTACTAAGTGTTACACCGCTCAATAACTTTATATTAAATGTGAATTTTGTAAATCCAACCGTTAGATTGAAAGTTCATATCTCTTAGATCATATATGTCAAATTTTGTTAAAATTGAACAACAACTTGAAGGTAATCAAAGTGTTCATATTTTA